GACTAGGACACGGAACAATGGCTTCACATTACAGTAGATTTTCCATCTGAACATGAGGAAGAACTTCCTAATGGTGAGAGCTGTTCAGCGGTGGAACTCTCTGCCCCAGACTGTGGTGGAGGTTCCTTCTTTGGAGGCTTTTAAGCAGAGGTTGGATGACTATCTGTCTGGGGTGCTTTAAATGTGATTTTCCTGCTTATTGGCAGGAGGTAGGACTAGATGGCCCACGAGGGCTCTTCCAACTCTATGATTCTACCCCTTATTCTATAGTGCAATCCATAGAATTTGAAGCCAAGGTCCCTCCAGAGATTTCAGTGTATGAAAGAAGACAACAGTTTGGGAGAATTTATTCACAATGTAATATAGGCTCAACCCATATATGCCTTTAAAGGTTAATGCCCAAAGATTGAATTTTGCTTGGAACATAGAAATCTATAAGCCTAAATGTCATTAGTTGGTCCAAAATAGAGAAGACCTATGAAGTGTTGGATTTTTAGTAACATGTAGGTAAACTCCATTCTAGGTGAGGTAATAAGAAGATTCTCTTACCGGAAATTATGTGCTACTCTTTTGAATTCATCCAAGATGTTGTGCTGCATAATAGTGCATAAACACTCTTTGAAGCCCAATTCAATAAACATAGGAAATGTTCAGAGGTGATTCTCAAGGTATATATGAAGCCACTCTGAATCCCCTCTGGGGTGCGATAGAGCAGGGTAGAAATGCAATAAATAAATAAATAAATAAATAAATAATATGCAAATAATAAAAACAATATAGTTTTCATCTATGCATACAGTATCAGCATTGAAGTGACATATATCAGCCATTGCTAATAACTGTTTTCATAATAACGCATTTACAAAATCAAAGTTGGCCATGTCTATGGCAATTGGTGGCAAAAGGCCCATCTGGCAACTGGCCGAGCAATAATCACTTGGCAGGATTTCGGTAATGTTTATTGTAGATGTCGAGACAGAATTAGGGGCATGGGAGAAATTATCTTACACGTGAGTTCATGAATGCTCTGTAAGGCATAGGCCACCTTCGGTTATTCAGGCCAATTTCCACATGGACTCGGTGCCTACATTGAGTTATTCTTAAGAGCATCAATACAAATGAATGCAAAAAATATGGTAACAGTGTTCACAATATGGGTAAATTGACACTCTCAGCATAATATCTACTGTATCAGTTCTTCAATTGATTTTATTTGGCACTGAAGAAAATGGCACATTAAAAGGAAGGACACGGGTCCTCTCGACTGGCCTACAGCTCATTGACAAACACTATCCTACCATGCTAAAGGCTTTTCTCTTTTTGAAAGGCACATTTGCTAAAGGTAAAGGTTTTCCCTGACATCAACTCCAGTCGTGTTCAACTCTGGGGGGTAGTGCTCATCTCATTTTCTAAGCCGAAGCGCTGGTGTTGTCCGTAGACACCTCCAAGGTCATGTGGCTGGCATGACTGCATGGAGCGCCGATTGCTAAAGTATACTCCTATATAGAGTTGCCCTCAGTGGAAAGGTAAAAATAATGAAATAAATACAATAAACCAGTAGTAACAATGTACCAATCTTTATTGGTAGACACAAATACAATCAACAGTCAGAATAAGTATCAAAATCAAAGGATAATTTCTTACATTTGATACATGTGCAGACTTCTTTCAAAAAGTAACAAGAGTGTGAAACAATGTAAAATTGCTTTATTGAACAAATACTTCTCAATATTAGAGGAAGACTTTTCTCTATTTAAGATGTTAGACCTTCAAAGTAGCATGACAATTGATTAGTGCTGTCTGATCTAGCTGAAGTGGTTCTCAGCCTGTGGGTCCCCAGATGTTTTGGCTTTCAACTCCCAGAAATCCTAACAGCTGATAAACTAGCTGGGATTTCTGGGAGTTGTAGACCAAAAACACCTGGTGACCCACAGGTTGAGAAGCACTGAGCTAAGGAGTCCAGAGAAAACCTGTAAAACTAATTTTGTTTCACTGACGTCACATTGTGAAGTCAACAACCTGGAAACACTTTGAAAGTAATAAAAGTTGGATCCTATTAAGTACATTAAATGAAACCTTTGAACTCAAGCATAAAATACCAGATAGCCGGGACATCTTTGGCACCTGAATGAGAGGGAGAAATGGATGTATAGCTCTAGTAGTACATGAGGAAGAGAACATTGCCACTTTCTAGCAGTCTTGCCATTAGAACCAAAGAAGTGGGTTGAATATGTCATTGTAAATTGTTGTGTGTGTGCCTCCAAGTTACCTGTGACTCCATTAATTTCATTTCCTTAAGAGATGATTTTACTGGTTCCTTCATCTGAAATATAGCCCAAAGAACCTGGTATTTATTGACAGTCTTTCTTCCAAGTACACTTTTCAGCTCAAACACTAACATTTAGAAAACACTACATGAACACCAACCACAAAGTAGCTGAATGCAATAACATCCTGCAAAAGTTGCTGGCAGTGCATGGGGAGCAGACCCAAAATTAATAAGAACATCAGCCCTGGCCTTGTCTAACTCAGCTGCTGAGTATGCCTGTCCTGTTTGGCATAAGTTTGTTCATGTGAAGTTGGTGAACATAGCACTGAATGAAAAATGCAGAATAATCACAGGATGTCTCAAACCTACACCTGATGATAGACTCTACAAGCTAGCTGGCATCCCCCCCCCCCCCCCCCCCCCCCCCCCCCCCCCCGCAATGTGCATGGCTATCAGCCTCCTCCCATTTGACTCAAATCAAGGAAAAACTTCATGAGAACCACAATTCCTCTTAATGTTCTCCCAGCAACAGCAAGGGCATCCTCTGAGCAGCTATACCAGGAAATCCCAATTGGATGCCCCCCTCCTCCTCACAAGGGTCTGCCTCCAGGAGCAAACCAAGAATGGTCAACATGGAAATCCCTGAACAGACTCAGAAGTGGAGTGGGCAGATCAAAAGACATCCTGGCTAAATGGAACTACCTAAAAGAATCCTCCACCTTGTGCGACTGTGGAGCAGAACAAACAACCCTGCACCTGAATGCTTGTTCACAATGCCCTGCCTCATGTACAGAGGAAGAATTGTTTAAAGCTACAAACAATGTGGTTGCTGTTGTCCGGTTTTGGCCAAAAATTACTTAGCCGCCTGTGCTCCTTCTATTTTTTATCAGTTTTATACTTTTGTCTGCAATGCTTTTGATACGGAATAAATAAATCAAAGTACTAACTTGGGCTAGCTATACTTAGTTTCCAAGATCAGATAAGATCTGGTGGTTTTAAAGTATTTAGACCATAGCAGAAATTATGGGGGTAGAAAGTACGGAAATGGTCCAGGCAATTACTGTTACGACCCAGAGAATCATCTTGCTACTATTCCGTTATTGATGGCTTCAGTGTGTCAATTTTATTCATGTTTTGTTTAAAGGAGCTTTTCAAGTGTCTAAAAGCAGCAGTTCCTATCTGATCTTGGAAGCTAAGGAAGGTCAATTCTGTTTGGTATTAGGATGAGAGACTATCACTGAATACCAGGTGCTGTATACTATATTTCAGAGGAAGTCACTGGCAAAATTATCTTTGAGTATTCCTTGAGTATGGGGTTGGCATAAGTTGAAAGGCGACTTGAAGACATGAACACAGTTTAACAAGTGAAGCCCCTGGGTGATCTTCAGAAGATAAACTTTCCATCTTCTATGATAAAAGGAAGTGGCATACAGGATGTGAGATTCTAAAATAAAGAATGTTTTAGAACATTGTTTTGGAAACCCTATGAACTGCGAAATGCCTGAATTCTGACATTCCAATCTGGCTCCACTAGAAGATGGCTTAGGCTCAAAACCCTTCACGTTACCTCTTCTTCTACAAGCTGTTACTGTTATCTGATGAAAGGGCCATTCTCTGTGGTCACTGTGTGCCATTATGTTACACAAGGGCTCATTAAAGTCTAAATCCAAGTTTCAGATTATAGTGGGTTTACTATCATTTGTTAGTCTTCTTTTGTTGTTGTGTGCCTTAGTTTCTGACCGATGGTGACCCTGTTACAGTGTTTTCTTTGCAAGATTTGTTCAAGAGAGGTTTGCCATTGCTTTCCAGTGAGGTTGAGAGAGTGCGACTTGTTCAAGGTCACCAAGTGAGTTTCCATGGACAAATGAGAATTCAAATTCTGATTTCCAGAGTCATAGCCCAATGTTGAAACTACTACACTGACTCACATTTATCTGATACTTAGCTTGCCTGCTTCAAAATATTACTATGTATGGTATATTAATAAAGCAATTAAAATAGCCGCCCTGAGTCCCCTCGGGGAGATAGGGTGGCCTATAAATAAGGTATTATTATTATTATTATTATTATTATTATTATTATTATTATTATTTGAAACATAACAAGATTAGTACACAACAAAAAAAATCACTATGCTGGCTTTTGTATTTGATCACACGTCGGACACTTTCCAAATGTCTAGGACTGTGTGATGTATCAGCACATAATGTGTGCAGATCCTAGTAGGGTGGCCTTTTGCAGCTGACAGATGGTAATTTTGTCAGTGCCGATTGTGTTTAAGTGCAGGCCAAGGTCTTTAGGCACTGCACCCAGTGTGTCGATCACCATTGGGTTGTTGTTGTTATTATCATTATTATTATTTAAATGTTATCATCCCCTCCAGTGAAGAAGCAGTTAACAATTTTAATTTAAAAGGTGACAAATATATCCAAATAATTTAAAAAACATAATGATCATATACTACATGGCAAACTAGATGTATATACAAATTACATTTTGCATCCAAATATTGTATTTGACAATATGATTATGGCTCAGATTGTAATGCAATGCAAAAGGCCAACATAGGGATGTAAGGTCATTAATGAAATTTTATTTTTATAGAAATATGCATTGTATCTAATCTAACTGCTAATAATGTTCATTTTTAGAGCATTTAATCTGATATGCTATGACTGACCAATGTTTGCTGATCAACATGATATATTTCCTATATTCTTTTTTTAGCTTACGATGGCGTCTGTTTTCACATCCAACAAAACAATCCGGGTTTGTCCTTTTCTCAATGGAGAGGTGGAAAGCTCGGAAACCAAAACTAACAACACATGGATACGTCCCAATTTGGCCAGCAGATGTACATGGAAACCAGGAAAATCCATTTCAGAGTCCCCTCATAGTTGTGTGCCTCTGTAAGTAGCTACTGTTACTGGAATATTGAGTGTATGATTTTTCTCTTTCGTCTACCCAGCTTATTTAGTAAGGGTTTTTCTAAGATGACTGAGAGGATTACAAACAAGGAGCTCCCTAGGGGTCCTGTGAATGCATTCTGCTATAGTTGCCCTCATATGCAATATACTGTGGTTTTCAAGTTGCTGAAGTAAATGTTTCTACATTTGCAAATACTCCTGTGCGTAACCTCTCGATCAAGCACAATTCAGATGGTATTGATTTATAGTATTTATATTCCGCCCTTCTCACCATGAAGAGGACTCAGGGCGGATCATAGAACATACATATACAGCAAACATTCAATGCCATTTTATACACAGACAAGACAGACAATTATACACAGAAGGAGGTATATATAGGCTTTTCCCCATTCTCAGCATCTCAGAGACTTGTGCTCTGTTCCATCCATGGGCATGTGGGTGTGTGTATGTGCTGTCGCTCCATCTTCCTGCCAAAGAGCTCTTTTGTTCATAAACTTCCTCCTTTTTTGTTTGGATTGCCACCATTTTCTGGCATTTTTCATTTACGGGTGCATTTAAGCAGTACCTATTTATCTACTCACATTTTTTGCTTTGGAACTGCTAGGTTGGTGGAAGCTGGGCTAAAAGCCAGGAGCTCACCCTGACCAGGTCTTTGAACTGTCAACCTTGGATTGACAAGATTTCCCGCAGCTGCTGGTTTAACCTACTGTGTTAAAGCATCTTGTCCACATGACAGCTTCTTATGCTCCTCTTGTTCTGTATTTTTGTTATACCTTATCCACAATGCTTGCGACTAAAGATATTCTGTATTTCAGGGTTTTTTAAAAAATGTTTTAGAAAACTTGCATATGTATAATGAGATGTAAGGAGATGGGATCCATGTCTAACCACTAAATGTATTTGTTTCATTTTACATCTTATACACATAGCCTAAAGGAAATTCTATTTCTAGAATATAGAATACTCAACCTATACAACAGGCAGCCAACAGATGGCAGAACGCCAGCAGTTTTTTACACAGGCAGATTTTCATGGGCTCTTCTAGATTGTTTGACAGAAATGTAACTTCTCACAATGTAGCTTGTCATGTTTGGTGACCGTCGTTCCACTCCTGTTCTTTGTAGCAATTTGTTTGGCTCAGGCCCCCACACTGTCCTCCTTCCGGAAGGAACTGAAGACTTGGATGTTTCGACAAGCCTTTGAGAGTGCCTAGTCCCAATGGTCCACAAATAATGCCACAGCACAGCACTTTTGCCCCATGCCCTAGTTCATTAGCTAAAATTTGCACTATCCTATTCCCTGATTATGTTTGCAGTTGGCTATGTTTTACGACAGTTCTCATCCTAGGTTATTGGGCACTATTTTGAGCTTACACTTTGTTTTATATGCTATTGGTTTTAATCTTGTATTGTATTGTGTGTTTATTATGCATTGTTTTAGGCACATTGTGCCATATGAAAGCCGTCCCGAGTCCCTTTGGGGAGATTCCTATATTTATATAGTAAATATAAATATACCGGTGGCACAGTGGGTTAAACCGCTGAGCTGCTCAGCTTGTTGACAGAAAGGTCACAGGTTCGAATCTGGGGAGTGGCATGAGCTTCCGCTGTTAGTGCCAGCGTCTGCCAACCTAGCAGTTCGAAAACATGCTAATGTGAGTAGATTAATAGGTACCACTCCAGCGGGAAGGTAGCAGCGCTCCATGTAGTTATGCCGGACACATGACCTTAAAGGTGTCTATGGGCAACGCTGGCTCTTTGGCTTAGAAATGGAGATGAGCACCAACCCCCAGAGTTGGATATGACTGGACTTAAGGTCAGGGGGAAATCTTTAACTTTACCTTTACCTATATTTATATTATGCCTTTCTCTACCCCAATTGGGACTCAAGGTGGCTTACATATAGGCAACAATTCAATGCCTTAATAACAAAATACGATTAAAAACATTTCAATTAAATTAAAATCAAAGTTAGATTATATTAAAAATTTTAAAACATTACAATCACTATAAAACCAATCATAATAATAGTATTAAATCAATAATAATAATAATAATAATAATAATAATAATAATAATAATAATATTTTTAAACAGTTTTTAAAACCAGTTTGCTGAGATTATGCTATGGTTTCAAGAGTCAATTTTATCCTCTCTAATTTTTAATTTATTTTCATTGAGTTATAGTACTATAGTATTACACAGATCTGCTATGACTAAATTTTTCTTTTCTTTTTTTAAGAAGCAATGTATTTGTTTGTTTGGTTTGATAGATCTTAGAATGAAAAATAAAAAAAAAACCTATGCAAAGGTGGTACTAACATTTTGTGGCTAGTGACAGAAATATCCAGAAAATAGTCCAGGACAACAGAAATGTGGTTTGTGTGTGTGTGTGTGTGTGTGTGTTAAAAAACAAGATCTCCAGCAGCAAATACTGCAACCTACCAACACATTTGTCTTAACTGAAGAAAACCCATGATAATTCTATAGAGTTTACTTTTAATTCTAAGACACTGGAATCAGAATAAACATGGTGTCCTTTTATTTCACTTTCTCTCAGTCTCTTTTGTTATTGTGGAAGTATGAAATCTTCTTGCTTCCACCAAGAGGTGGAAACTAATATTAAACTTCATAAGATGCAGGTCCCAGCTGCCATTTTAGGGCATTTGGTTCTTCCAAAATCATTAAACTCTCATTATTTTCTAAATATATAAAGGAGCTCTTCTGCAAAACAGGAAAAAATCTACTTGGACTTATGCAAGATGGCATAAATCGGTAACCTAATGCTTCCTATAATAAACTGAGTTAATGATAAGCAGAAAGATTTAGAAGTCATTTGTGAAACCCTGACGACTTTGTCCTTATAATGTTAGTTCTGTCTTTTAGAAGGGCCCCATGGGTTCAGTACAATATGTCCTAGATGATAATCCATCATAAACACCCACTCCTATTTGCCTGATTCCAGGGGGAAACTGTCTTGAGGAAGTGTTTTCTAATTAGTGGCTAACACTTTCTCTGATCATTCAACTTACAATATATTAAAGCTGAGGAAAATAAAGTTTTATTTACACGGGAGAGGCAGTGTGTTGAATGAAAATTACAAAGATCTGTTGAAAAATTATTCAAGAGTGGCCATGTTGGCAATATAGCAAAATAAAATGTAATGTGGGGATCTAGACAAGGAGCAGTAAAACTGTAACTCCATTAGTAGCAGCACAGTAAGTGCTAATAGAGTTTAATTTTACTGTTCTTTGTCTCAGTCCCAATGGTATGGCTGATAGGAAAGATAATACCAAGAGCGGTCCTTTGTGTGAGGCAGAAAAGGTACGTTTATTTTCAGCTGAGACCCTGGTGTGGAATTGCGTCCAAAAGCAGGGTTGATTTTCCCTTTAATACATCTTCAAATGCAGACAAACAAAGAAACATGCTTCTGCTTATGTTAACATCACCACCACGTCACTTTTGCATCATAGAAATATCAAATTATATCTTCCTACATGCAAGGGGCATGTCTCTATATTTTTTCTTAAAGCAGCTTACAGCAATAGAGATAGCTAGGATTCAGCTTAGATCCATCCAGAGGCCTACTTTTGACCTGTCAGGAGGGAGGGAGAGAAACTTCTTACTTTTGGAAGTAAGAAGGTATGTCCTGTGCTAAGCTGTACCAGTCTCTGGGTTGTATAAATAGCATGCCCCCCTTCTCTTCCTCCTTTCATCACAGATCTCCTTCAGCATTCTTTCTGTCCTGTCAGCTTGGCTTCCTAATACTAAGAAAACCTGATTTTTCTATATTTCAGTGCTTCTGATGTACATACAATATATGTATAAATATCTATATTTCCAATATCTCCACATCACCTATATGGCCAAGAAAGAAGTGGGATCTGCCTTCATGGAGATCCCGCTGGACACTTGGAGGACCATAGGTTGTGCAGGCCTAGACTCACTGAACAATAACAGAAACAACATCTAATATAAAATGTAGGTTTGTGACTTCAGCACTGCCCCCCCCCCTTTTTTTTAGCATCTTTTGCTTGATGAAGTCAGTGGAGCTTTGAAAACTTGAATTGATGCGCTTTGTGCATTTCAGTTGGCCAATAGAAGCATCTGTTGGATAGTATCTGGAACATCCCCATCATAGCATCTTGTGAGAGTTCAATGACAACAGTATTCAACGAGGCAGGAAAATTCTGCAGGATTTGAAACTGCAGTTTCAGGTTAAGTTACAAAGAAATCCCCCTTTAGGTTATAGGCTCTCAGGCCCCATCTATACTGCCATATAAAATCTGTAGTATTTGTTTTGAACTGGATTATATGGCAGTGTAGACACATGTTCAAAGCTGGTAATCTAGATTATCTATTTTGATGATCTGGATTATATAGCAGTATACATCCAGCCTCCGATATTCTTTTAAGACCCCCTCTATACTGTCATATAAAATCCAGATTATCTGCTTTGAACTGGATTATATGGAAATGCCTATATGGTTTGATAATGATGCTTCAACTTGTTTTAACTAAATGTTTTATTTATTGTTTTAAATTGTGGTAATATTTTTGTATCTGTTTTATGTTGCGGCATCAAATTGTTGCCAGATGTAAGCCGCCCTGAGTTCCCCCTTGGGGGTTGAGAAGGGAGGGTTAGAAATGCTGGAAATAAATAAATAATAAAATTATTTATATAACAATGTAGAATCATATAATCCACTTCAAAGCAAATAATGTGGATTATCTGCTTTGATAATCTGGACTATATGGCAGTGTAGAAGGGGGCTGATAGTTACTTAGGGCCCTTCCACACATCCATATAAACCCACAATATCAAGGCAGATAATCCACAATATTTGCTTTGAACTGGGTTATCTGAGTCCACACTGCCATATAACCCATTTCAAAACAAATAATATGGGATGTTATACAGCTGTGTGGAAGAGGCCTTAGGGAGGTGGGGTCCAAAGAAAGTTTTTTCAATAAAGGTCTTACAATTGTTTCCTTTGGTGGGTTTGGAACAAAGTGTTTTTTCACACCAGGGTTTTCTCTCACTACAATACTATTGTTTCTAAAAACATTTTAATGACAGCTTCTACTGACTATACTTGACTTGTGTGTGTGTGTGTGTGTGAGTAGATAAAAATGTGTTGGATTTTATTACTCATTTGTAGAAGTTGTTATTTTGTTTATGATTTTTCAATTGATTAAATGAATTGGTATTTTTGATATCTTGAACGGAAAGTTTTATATTGGTTTCTTGCAACAATGAATTTGTTATATATTCATAAGTACATAGAAAATGAGGTTTCCAAATCTTACTAGCTCCTCTTTTTGTTCTTTTCCCTACTGCAGTCCAAAAGAACCAAAGATTTTGTCAAATATTTTGGAAAAAATTGGACACACCCCAATGGTCCGTGTCAACAAAATTTCAAAAGCCTATGGGATTAAATGTGAACTGTGTAAGTATTTTCTTGTCACAACTCTTCTCTCAGGGCGCATCCAGAAAGCCACTTTAATGTGGGAGTTACCGCAATAAAAAGGGGGGCTGTCCAGATGACGTCCTGGACAAACTCAAATTAAATCGCCACAAACCAGGGCTTTCCTGGTTTGTGGTGAAAAGCCACTACTTCCGGTGCCTGGACTGCAGTCCAAACAGTATTCCCACAGTTTTCCGGGCTAAATTGGCCCGAAAAACTGTGAGAACAGAACCCCCTCCCCAAAAGACCCCAAAAGCACTGTAAAAAAAACAAAAGAACTTCCCCGGCCTCCATTAGAGGGTTGCTGGAGCTCTCCTGGCATGTACAAATGAACCGCCAGGAGAAAGAGGGGAGGAGAAAATTCACTCCTGCCCCTTTCTCCTGGCATGTCATTTCCATGCATCAGGAGAGCTCTGGCAGCCCTCTAATGGGGGCCAGGGAAGTTCTTTTGTTTTTTACAGTGCTTTTGGGGTCTTTTGGGGAGGGGGTTAGAGTGTTCGGGTGTTCACCCGGAATGTTCTGGGAGAACATCTGGACATTCACCCCAGAATGCATGTGCTTTCTGGAGTATGTGTGGATAGGGGCCCAGGAAAATCCACATCTTTTAAACACGGGTGCTCCTGAGATAAAGCGCTGTGTGGAAACACCCTCTGTTTCTGTACTATGTTGTGGAAGCTAATTAAGGTGGAAGCGGAGAGGTAAGTTTTAGCACATATGTAGTTTTGTACATTGTATGGGAGTGGGCACTATTATGTCTTCTGTTTCAGACAAGAAAATGTTTGCTCTAGCCCTGTTGAAAGGAAAGTAGACGTGATAAGACTGTTATTACTTTCACTTAATTCAAAGAGTGACATTTCATGACTCTTCATCTTCATTTTCATATCTCAGAAAATATTTCACCCATATTCTAACTGGGTCTTGACTTGAAATTTTAGTGGCTAAGTGTGAGTATTTCAATGCTGGAGGGAGTGTGAAGGACCGGATCACTGTAAGGATGATAGAAGATGCTGAAAGAGCTGGGACTCTAAAACCAGGAGACACAATCATTGAGCCTACATCAGGAAACACAGGTATGCCAAAAGGACATCAAAGGGCCCTTCCACATATACCTATATCCCAGAATATCAAGGCAGAAAATCCCACAATATCTGCTTTGAACTGGGTTATCTGAGTCTACACTTAGATAATGTGTGATGTCCTGCCTTGATATTCTGGGATATAGGCAGAGGCGGCCATAGGTAATTTTCAAGGGTAAGCAAACAGTATTTTGGTGCCCCCCCACCAACCAATCACTGATATATATTTTCTGTTTGTCGTGGGAGTTGTGTGTGCCATATTTGGTTCAATTCCATCATTGGTGGAGTTCATAATGCTCTTTGATTGTAGGTGAACTATACATCCCAGTAACTACAACTCGCATATGTCAAGGTCTATTTTCCCCCCAAGAGCGCCTCAAGCGTGCCCCTGGGCAAAACAACTATACTGCAAATGCTTATTTTGAGTAATGGGTTGAGCCGCCCCTGGATATAGGGCTGTGTGGAAGGGCCCAAAGACTTCTGTGGACATTTTAAGAAGTTGCCTTTTAATGTGATGAAAGGTTATGTCAATGTTATTTTTAACAGTATCAATATCATGATAATTTATATGATGGAAGAGAGGAATTCTACTGCAAGAAGGTAGTTGAAGCAGACGTTGTACTCATAATTGCCCCTATTTATTTTTATTTCAAATAATAATATGCTAAATCATTGTTTTTTAAGACAACTATTTTTAAAAAGTGAAAATTCAGAAATAGGCATTTGCATTGTCAGAGAATACTGTACTGCATGTATAGGTCTTCCACTTAGAGGTTGGAAGAGTTACTTCTTTGGTCTACAACTCTGAAAATGTGCAAGCCAGTACCAACGGGGGGGGGGGGGGCTTACAGCATAATGCATTATGTACCAAGTCAGATCCAGTGGTTTTGATTAAGTCAAGTGTCAGGTAAGTAGATACAGGATCTCAGCCTTAAAATACAAACTATTAGATCTATTTACTGAAAAAGGACAGTTAAAGCAATGGTATTTCCCATAGTAACTTATAGATGCGAGAGCTGGACCATAAGGAAGGTTGAGCAAAGGAAGATAGATGCTTTTGAACTGTGGTGCTGGAGGAAAATTATGAGAGTGCCTTGGACTGTGAGAAGATCCAACCAGTCCATACTCCAGGAAATAAAGCCTGACTGCTCACTAGAGGGAAGGATATTAGAGGCAAAGATGAAGTACTTTGGCCACATAATGAGAAGACAGGAAAGCTTGGAGAAGACAATGATGCTGGAGAAAATGGAAGGAAAAAGGAAGAGGGCTGACCAAGGGCAAGATGGATGGATGGTATCCTTGATGTGATTGGCTTGACTTTGAAGGAACTGGGGGAGGCCACAGCCAACAGGGAGCTCTGGCGTTGGCTGGTCCATGAGGTCACAAAGAGTCAGAAGCAACTGAATGAATAAACAACAAATGTTTGTTCTGAATCAGGCCCGTAGCCAGAATTTCATTTCGGGAGGGGGGGTGGCTGAATTTTTTTCAGGGGGGTTTCGGGGGGGCTGAGTTTTGGGGGGGCTGAGTCTGAGTGAAAGAGGGTCTAGCCTAGCAAACCTTTTGTATCATTACCCCAATACCCCCATGCATATGGGATATATTGATTATGGTGATCAGATCATGATATGAATAAACATAACAGTTTAAATAATGCACCAGTAAGGCCTTTTCGCGAACCACCATGAGAATTTCGGGGGGGGGGGCTGAAGCCCCCCAAGCCCCCCCCCCCCCCCCCCCCCCGGCTACATGCCTGCTTCTTACCTACCTTATCCCTGTTGGGAATTTGTGGGAAGAAAGAAAGGATAAAATCCTGGACAAATATTTTGGAACCAGTAAATAAAATAGTGTAATTGGTTTCTATGCTTGAGAGCAAACCATTTTTAATACTTGTTATTAAAAATGGAATTAAGTTGGGTCGAGATGAAATTTTCCCAGTTACATCCTGCTGAAATGAATAGAGCAAGTTAGTTTAAGGCTTCTGAACATTGAATCACTGGGATGAAGAGCATCCCATTCAGTCGGGATCCTATATACTGCCTTTATTTGTAAAAGCGCAACAATATTATGGATTAAGATTCTTTGTATCACTGAAAATATGGTGTCTAGAGAAGGTCTCAGAAGAATCAATTTCTTATTTTGTAGAACATAATGTAAGAAGACTCAATTGACAAGGTCCTTATAGTGCATCTCAAAGGACCCCAATCCTATTTGTTTCATTATTGCCTGGTGCGCTAGATTTTACTTTTTGGAAGAAAGTATGTCAGAGTTTTAAGCAGGAAACATGTCATCTAAATAATATGGACTCCAACGGGTCTATCCAGCATAAGGATCTTGCCAGAGCTGTAAGCCTCCCTGAATCCCCCTATGAGGGTGAGAAAGGTGGGGTACAAATGAAGCAAGTAATAAATAAGAATGGTGGTAATTGTAGTCTAACAACATTCTTGTTCTTGATGGACCTGTATTTCTGTGCATTTTTGCACTCTTTTATCAGAAATGCTTGCTTTCTGCCAAAGATGTGTTTTGCTGTTAATCTCCTCTATATTCCTGGATATAGTAGCTACTAGGCATGGTTAGGTTCGGTCAGAATCTTCGTAATTTGGAATACATTCGGAAAGATTTCCTTTTTGAAGCAGTTTTTAAGGAAACCAGAAGTCCCTTTGCTCTTCTGAAGCCTTTTCTGCCATTTCTCTTACGAATCTGTAAGTGAGTCAGAAATGATTCAGCTTTTCAAACCAGTGTGGGTGGATTCCCTTCAGTTTACTTTTCCTCCCGGTCAGCCTTGGGCGAGAGATGCAGTTTAATGCAGTTTGGATGGATTCCCTTTGGTTGCCTTTCCCTCCCAGTCAGCCTTGGGTGAGAGATGCAGTTTAATCCTGTTTGGACAGATTCCCTTCGGTTGCCTTTCCCTCCCGGTCAGCCTTGGGCGAGAGATGCAGTTCAACCCTGTTTGGGTGGATTCCCTTCGGTTGCCATTCCCTCCTGGTCCGCCTTGAGTGAGAGATGCAGTTTAACCCTGTTTGGATGGATTCCCTTTGGTTGCCTTTCCCTCCCGGTCAGCCTTGGGTGAGAGATGCAGTTTAACCCTGTTTGGATGGATTCCCTTTGGTTGCCTTTCCCTCCCACAATTTCTCCCCCCCCCCGCCCCCTCCCGCTTCTGGAATAAAATAACTACTTTCAAAGTAAAGACCACCCAATGAAACAAGAAATATCACTTTGAAACCATTAACGAAGGATTAGGAAGTCTCTGAAGATTTGAAAAGTTTTGAACTTTTTTTTTCTGTGAAAATCGGAATTGACTTTAGATCCAAAGCACCAGTGCCGTCTACATCCAAAACGAGTTTTGAACCATTTTTTAAAAATCAAACAAGCCTAGTAGCTACCTTTATTTTTAGAATACCAATAGAACCAAGAGAAGGCACTGCAGTCATTATTCAACCATAGCTGGAAAATCAGTAACTAATTTCTCCTCTGCTAAATGCCACATACCCACTTAGCCTCCTCATTTAAACTACCAAGAGCTTTCTTCATACTTGCTTGTAAAGAAAGTCAGAGACATACACTTAATATATTTATACATTTACATATTTTTTGAAAGAGGTGTGCCCCCGTAAGTGAAAAAGATCAGTTTTTTATAGCATGTAGAGCTCCCCAACTATTTATTTTGCATTTAGAGAAAAAATGTTTGAAACTGATCATTGCAAGTTAAAGATATTTGAAAGTGATTGCTATTTATTTATCATGTCAGAAGTGAATTGTAGGTACAGTTGTAATGTATTTAAGAACAAAGTTAAAAAAACTTGGCATCATACTAAATGTCCTTTGACCAATAGCTAGCCACTTGGAGTGGCTCTGGTATTGCTATAAGAAGGTCCTCCATTGTGCATGTGGCAGGGCTCAGACTGTATTGTAGTAAATGGTCTGTGGTTTGCTCTTCTACACACTCACATGTCATGGACTCCACTTTGTGGCCCCATTTCTTAAGGTTGCCTCTGCATCTCGTGGTGCCAGAGAACAGTCTGTTCAGTGCCTTCCAAGTCGCCCAGTCTTCTGTGTGCCCAGGAGGGAGTCTCTCATCTGGTATCAGCCATGGGTGGGGGTTCTGGGTTTCAACCTACCACTTTTGGACTCTTGCTTGCTGAGATGTTCCTGCTAGTATCCCTGTAGATCTTAGAAAGCTATTTCTTGGTTTAAGGCATTGGCGTGCTTGCAGCATGCAACCAATGTAATTGCTGAGGAATATATCTCAAAGCACATCATGTTTGGGGGAGGTAAATGAGTTAATTGTGAAGTGTACAATTCCCTTTAACATTTGACTCTTCAAATATCTTCCACTTTATTCCTTATTCACTTACATCCCAGGTATTGGACTAGCCCTGGCTGCTGCAGTGAAGGGCTATCGCTGTGTCATTGTCATGCCTGAGAAAATGAGCATGGAGAAGGTGAGAGTCCTATCTAGTTAGACATCATTGGCAATAACATGATATACATCTCTTTTTAATTGATAGCTTCAAGATACTTACTTCCTCCTTAGCAAAACCACCCCCCCCCCCCAAAAAAAAGCCTTGGGCAGTTGGGTTTGTGGCATTGATGAAGGTCACCAGATAACCTCACCAGATAACTCTAAACAAACATAGCTTCTTGTGGAAAGCAAAAATAATTCAATTTATGTCAGTCAACCAGATGTTTGTTTTATGAGATGAGCTTATGGATATTAAAAGCATTATTTGAAGGTCATGTCTGTCAATAAGAGTCCTCTGTTGAATAAGCAAAATTATTAAAAAGAGTTCGAAATGGTAACAAAACATACTAAAGGACACATTAAGTCAATCAATAAGAAGCTTTTCATACAGAGTTTATATCTATTCCTTCATGAACCATTGTTTGAATGCAAGGAGCAGCAACTGTCCTGTATGCATAATGCATGATCAGAGCATGGTGCTATGAAAAGTAGTGTCATGGCTGGCCTAGTTTTGCACCTCCAGTGTGCACACACAACTGCTTCCAGCAGTGGAATATGTGGCACCTCAGGAAGAGACCTCCTTGAGCACTGAATCAGGCACAGTGATTTATGAGCCTGCAACCTTTGGGGATGTACATGCTGAATATCCCCATTTATTTCACTGGTGGAAGCAAGGTGCTCATTGTGTTGTTGAAGCCTTTCATGGCCGGAATCACTGGGTTGCTGTGAGTTTTCTTGGCTGTATGGCCATGTTCCAGAAGCATTATCTCCTGATGTGTCACCCACATCCATGGCAGGCATCCTCAGAGGTTGTGAGGTCTGTTGGAAACTAGGCAAGTGAGGTTTATTTATCTGTGGAATGTCCAGGGTGGGAGAAAGAACTCTTGTCTGCTTGAGGCAAGTGTGAATGTTGCATTTGCATTGAATGGCCTTGCAGCTTCAAAGCCTTCTGCTTCCTGCCTGGGGGAATCCTTTGTTGGGAAGTGATAGCTGGCCCTGATTGTTTCATGTCAGGAATTCCCCTGTTGTTTGAATGTTCCTCTTTATTTACTGTCCTGAGTTCATTCTTCTTTTTTTGCACAAATGTGGCTCTACTGCCGAATTGAATGAGAACAGCCCACATAAGAGAACTTCATGATCATCCTGGAAGATGTTTTACCTTAGAATGGTCACCTTCCTTGAGGCTCCTTCTACACTGCCCTATATCTCAGGATTTGATCCCAGATTATCTGTTTTAAACTGGATTATATGAATCTCCATTGCCAGATCTGGGATAAGAAAATAATATGGAATCAGATCCTGGGATATAGGAGCAGTGTGGAAGGGGCCTGAGACTGAGAGTCAAGCTACATCACCTCCAACAGTCAGTGCCACTCTTAACACATCTGAACTCATCTATTTAGGCTCAAATCCAGTTAGTAATTGGAAGCAACAGCATTGACTGAAATCCCAGACAGTTGCTGCCAGTCACAGCTGCCTTCGTGAGCTAGATGGCCAAGACAGTTTGCAGTGTCCGTGTGTGTTACAGTCAACATGTCAAGATGTGGAATGCAAAGATCTATTGTAAACCATGTCTTCTTCCAGGTGGATATCCTAAGAGCTCTGGGGGCAGAAATTGTAAGAACTCCATGTACAAGGTATGATGCTCCAGAATCCAATGTCCGTGTTGCTTGGAAACTGAAAGCTGAAATCCCAAACTCACACATTTTGGATCAGGTAAGCTGAGAGTGCTTTCTAAATATTATGACGAGAATAGACACTGATTGCGGAAGCTAAGTGGAATCAGTCCCAGGGCCCTTCCAAACAGGCCCTATATCTCAGGATCCGATCCTAGCTTTTCTTCTTTAACCTGGATTATATGAGTCTCCACTGCCAGGTAATCTGGGATAAACAGAAAACCTGGGATCAGATCCTGGGATATAGAGCCTGTCTGGAAGGGCCCCATGTTAGTTCTTGGAAAGAACCATCTGAGAATGTCAGATAGTGTAGGTTATATTCAAAATAAGGCAATGGCAAAGCACCTCTGAATGTCTCTATGCAAGAAAGATGAGATTGCCATAAATCAGAATTCACTTATAACACTTATATATTTATGTTGGTGTTTATGCTGGATTATCTGAGTTTTTACTTTTACTCAGCTGATTTCTTTGCAACAACCTGAGATTAGAAGGCAAGGAGTGACATTGGTAAAGCAATCTTAATCCTCTGATGAGGGCTTGTTGTAAAACGTTAGCATGGAGAAGAGTGGTAGGGAACAGCCAAATAGCAATTGATCCTTCATATGGTTCTGTTGTCTTACCTTGACCTTTGCAAACATGTGCAATTATCACTAGCAGATGAGAATTCTGCTATTCTCTTTCTGCTAGTAATCTAATTTATTTACCAATCTTTATAGGCTACCGATACAATCCAACAACGCATTCCTCCCTCCCCCACCCAATATCCAGGAGATTTGGCTCCAGGACATCCCGTGAAAGGCAAAAAAAAACCCATGATGACAACACAACTGTGGTTTGGGAACTCACAGATTAGGAGGACTCACTCTGTGTATTCACATATTCACACACACAAATAGTCAATATTCTAAATCAGTTACTGTGAAGTATACTCCTGACTAATAGTGATGATACATGGGGAAAAGGAGGTTCTTTTTGCTAGTCAAGTGCAGTACTCTATATTATACAGGACTACAGTTACCATCATCCATAGCTAGTGGTGAAGAAGGCTGCCCACAACATTTGAAGGGCTACTTACTAATTGCCTAGTTCTCTCATCTTTGTTTATGGGCTCTTTAAAAGTGCCCTTCAGGTTTTGTGAATTGGGAGAGGTTTGTGCCTTGATCAACTATTGTTTGCCTCCAGAAAAATAATTCTCTCATATTTTGGAAGAAAATTAAATTTGTTTCATGCAGCCTTCCTGAATCTGGCACCTTCTAGCATTTCTCAACCTGGGGGTCAGGACCCCTGTGGGGTCGCAAGGAAATATCAAAGGGGTCACCAAAGACCATCAGGAAACACAGTATTTTCTGTTGATAATGAGGGTTCTGTGTGGGAAGTTTGGCCCAATTCTAGTGTTGGTGGGGTTCAGAATACTCTTGTATTGTATTTGAACATAAATCCCAGAAACTACAACTCCCAAATGTCAAGGTCTATTTCCCCCAAACTCCACCAGTGTTCACATTTGGGCATATTGAGTATCCATGCCAAGTTTGGTCCAGATCCATCATTGTTTGAGTCCACAGTGCTCTCTGGATGTAGGTGAACTACAACTCCAAAACTCAAGGTCAATGCTCACCAAACCCTTCCAGTATTTTCTGTTGGTCATGGGAGTCCTGTGTGCCAAGTTTGGTTCAATTCTATCGTTGGTGAAGTTCAGAATGCTCTTTGATTGTAGGTTAACTATAAATCCCAGCAACTACAACTTCCAAATGACAAAAACCACCCCCCCCCCCCAGCCCCATCAATATTCAGATTTGGGCCTATGGGGTATTTGTGCCAAATTTCATCCAGTGAGTGAAAATACATCCTGCATATCAGATATTTACAATTCACAACAGCAGCAAAATTACAGTAATGAAGTAGCAAAAAAATAATAATTTTATAGTTGGAGATCACCACAACACGAGGAACTGTATTAAGGGGTTGCAGCATTAGGAAGGTTGAGAACCACTGTTCTGAAGTATCACCCCTACGCACTGGTTGTTGTTGATGGCGTGCATTTATAGTCCAAGATTCCTGAAGGACAGTAGGTTGGGGAAAGCTATGCCTATTTATCGGTCTTTTCTCTAAGAATTGGACCTGGCTTCATTTTAACAGTAATGTACCCTTTTCTCTCTATCCTTTCTACAATAGTATCGAAATCCAAGCAACCCCTTGGCACATTATGACACGACAGCTGAAGAGATTCTGGAGCAATGTGATGGTATAATTAAGGCTTCCTCCTCAAATGTATTGTGTGTTATTACATTCCCTTTAACAGAAGCCAATGCTGCTTAGTTCACTATATGATGCAAGACTGCCATTAGAAACTGACTGTTGTCAGTTTACTGCTGATGTGTAGATAATCATGACATTATTTGTAGAAGAAAATAAACCATGGTTGTCATCTTATGTATTAGGGCTGCTCTTGCATATTTGCTTTGTTACAATTTAGCATCAGACAATATGTATTTAATGTATTGTCGAAGACTTTCATGGCTGGAATCACTGGATTGTTGTAAATTTTCTGGGCTGTATGACCATGTTCCAGAAGCATTTTCTCCTGACGTTTCGCCCACATCTATAGTTGTGGGCAAAACATCAGGAGTGAATAATTCTGGAACATGGCCATACAGCCCGGAAAACTCACACCAACCCAAAATGTATTTACTCCTCATGTTTGTAGTCCATCCTTTTCATAATTATAATTTTGGGTTACTATTGGCATTAAGTAGATCTGTAAATAAACAATATGTTTGTGGTTCTCCCTATATGTTAGAAACCCCAGACACTAATGGTAGGAGACAACAATTGTATGATTTGGCCAACATGACTTTTTTGGCCTTTCCTCTCTGATGGAGGGGAGCGTTGTGTGTGAAATGGAGCCTTTTCTGCATACTTTCTCTGTCCTCTGTGACAGAAAAAAATCCTCTCCCACTTTTGAGGTAAGATCCCACTGACAAGTTCGTTTCCAAAGGAGTTGGGATCTTGTCTTTTAGTCTTGTGTCTCAACCAAAAAAACCCAAAACATTTTGGTCTTGTTCTTCCCATGGTCTATACAAAGAATAATACAAAAAGTCCATGGTCTTAATAATAGTAACCTATTTGCGGTAGTAGATTACACTGATGTTTCCCAATATTGTGTGAAGGACTGTAATGCAGATGAAAAATACAGATAATCACAGAAGTACGGGTTTTTAAGCATCCCAAACACTTCTGTGTTTGCAAACATTTTTACCATGGGCACTATTATCATGATTTCCAAGTAATATTTCCAAGGCATAGTTATGAGCTTTTTTCATCTAGACATTTAGAAAAGCCAAATGGTCTGATTGTGAACTCCTCCCCTCCTTTCTTTTAATTTCAGGCAAAGTTGATATGTTTGTGGCTGGAGCTGGCACAGGAGGCACCATCACTGGTATCGCCCGAAAATTGAAAGAGAAATGTCCTGAATGCAAAGTAAGCGAAAGCCTTAGTTGACTCAGATAGTAAAGGTAAAGATTTCCCCTGCCATTAATTTTTGCTGTGTCCAACTCTGAGGAGCATTGCTCATTTCCATTTCTAAGCCGAAGAGCCAGTGTTGTCCATAGACACCACCTAGGTCATGTGGCCAGCATGACTGCATGGAGCACTGTTACCTTCCCACAGAAGCAGTACCTATTGATCTACTCACATTTGCATGTTTTTGAACTGCTAGGGTGGCAGAAGCTGGGGCTTACAGTGGAAGCTCACCCTGCTCCCCGGATTTGAACTGCAGACTTTTTGGTCAGCAAGTCCAGCAGCTCAGTGATTTAACTCGCTGCACCAGTAGGGGCTCAAATACTCATTGAAAAATATTTCCTATAGTCAGGGTCTTCAGGAAACCATAAATTTAGCATCTGTCTTCCCCTAATATCATAAATGGCTGGAATCCTGTTGGTTAGTCTCAACTTGATTAGACTCAATGAATCAATTTGTTAAAGGATGAGTCTAGACATAGGGAAATCTAAATGATTCCATGGGTGTAGTCTAGTCATGAGTAGCAATAAGATTTGGGCCAATACTGAATGTGCTTCATGCATGTTTCTATACACAGCACCCTTGCTCTCACACAATAGGATTTATCTTAATGTGCAGCCCTGGAATCCAACCCATGGGTTTAACGTTTTGTGCAAAAGTCAAGCCCCACATTCATGAAGGGAATGTTTACTTTTTGGAAAACCAGAATCTCCATAACCTTTTGGAGAAAAATGGCATTCACAACCATTTTAAAATCATAAGCTTTTGTAAAAGTATGATCTTCCGAAGAAGAGCAAAAAAACCAAAACTGTTTGAGTAAAATATTCTCTTTAGTGGTATATATCCACATGTACTTATGTGAGCAATTTGGTTTTCTGTTGTTAGACTGATAACCTGGTTGCCTCTGATCTGTTAGGGACAGAGATTATGCCAATGCACAAAATACAGCAGTTCTTTCTTTCAGTGCCCAAAAACATCTATTCATAAAACATCTTGTTTCTATATCATGCTCTCAAGAGACAAAAATAAAGTAGACTTCATTAAAAGTAACATATTTGGTTTACTCACAATCTTCATGTATTCAGCATACAGGTACATAACTTGTCAATCCAGTTACAGATAGGTTTGAAATACTTTGTGCAGATCATAGAATCATAGAGTTGGAAGAGACCTCATGGGCCATCCAGTCCAACCCCCTGCCAAGAAGCAGGAATATTGCATTCAAAGCACCCCTGACAGATGGCCATCCAGCCTCTGTTCAAAAGGTAACACAGGGCATCTTTCTTACCATCAGTAGCAACATGAGTGTGCTCTTAACAGTCCAAAGTCTAAGCAGGTAAGAGACAGCATTAACGCTCTGAAAGTCTGAGGTCTGAGCAGTCTCAGACCTGATCATGTGGTCTGCAGACCTCCCACAATCTCAAGAAACATAGAGCAAAGGGAAAGCTGCATTCTAAAACATACAGCAAGCAAGCAATCACATACAAACAAATTACTAATGGAGGCTTGGAGAATGTTACTATTTCCAACACTACTCTCTCCAACCACTGAACAGAGAGAGGAAAATTTCTTTCCTTGAGTTTGGTTCTCCTTTCTTTTGCCCACAGAAAACATATGGGAGGGGAAAGCAAAGGTAGACATTCCGAAATGGCACCTACAAGTGCCAGAGAGAATGCTTTCTTTCTGCAAACTCTTCTCTTCACAGAGACCCATATACATTAGCTGGCTTTTGTGGAAAAATGTGGTGGCCACATTTAGTAATGTAGGTGAACTGTCCTTAATTTTATCTTCTTATATTCTGGAATATCTTGACCTGTTCATATCATTGCTGGTCTTAGTAAATGCTGGTGTTCTTCCTTCAGGGTCTTTGGTTGATGTCAAATTCTTAGCAAGGGCAAGTATCTCATGGAACTTACTTTGGTCTAAAATAAACAGTGAAGAGTGTGTTGCATCCAACTCCATCTTATAAGCTGTGGAGCATCCCCTCCCCCAAATACAAGCCTTTTCTGGGTTGTCAAATATCCAAGTGATTAGTGGCAACCAGAGGCGGCCCTAGGTAATTTTCAACAATAAGCAAACAGTATTTTGCACCCCCCCCCCCCCACCAATCACTGATATATATTTTCTGTTCGTCATGGGAGTTCTGTGTGCTATATTTGATTCAATTCCATCATTGGTGGAGTTCAGAATGCACTTTGATTGTAGGTGAACTATACATCCCAGTAACTACAACTCGCATATGTCAAGGTCTATTTTCCCCCAAGAGCGCCTCAAGAGCGCCCCTGGGCAAAATCAACTATACTGCAAATGCTTACTTTGCGTAATGGGTTGAGCCGCCCCTGGTGGCAACACATCCAGCTATTTTCCTTTAGCTTGACACACTGTGACAAGGACCTATGAGGGTCTCTGGACGATCTCTGCAGCTGACATCCTTGCAGCTTTTCCAGCTAAAAGAAAATAGCTAGAAATAACCACTGATTCCTTTGCTCTCTAACAGTTGATGCTGGAGGTGACTGAATGGCCATCCATTTGGGAGCGCTTTGGCTGTTGTGTGGTTGGAATATAATACCAATGTAATCAATCAAAAAGTGACTGTTGCATCATTTGGTAAATAGTAAGCACAAAACCATGTTGATTTTCATTAAGGCTGATTGATCAGAAATTTTAGTCTGATTTACTACTTCACCTTCCTCCACAGATTGTCGGGGTCGATCCTGATGGCTCCATTGTTGCTTTGCCCAACTCCCTTAACACAGTGGCAGCAGAAGATACAACAATGGAAGTAGAAGGAATTGGACATGATTTTATCCCGACTGTCCTTGACCGTTCTGTAAGTAGCAATAAGACCACTATTTGGAGATGCAGGAATGAAATTTGGCTTGTTCTTATTTAATGGACAATCAGCTTTACACTTAACCACACGATTCATTTGGAATGAGAACAGTTGATTCTTAACACACAGGGTCATCCAGCAAATGTAAATCGGTGCGATTGCATAAGAGGCAACACCATGAGCGTGATGCTTTGTAAGCTTTGCTGCATAACTTTATGTTGATGGCACTGTGTCACAAACACATTATGTAACCGTGTTAAAGAACAGCAATAATGTATAAGATAATGCAGGATGGCACATAACAAAGTTCCTCACAATATTGTTCTCTCTTCTGGAGTAGCAACATCCCATGGCTCCATTAGAGGCTATTGCCCCCACCTTGTGCTGTTGATGTGTAGGGTGATCTGTCCCACAAAGTGTCGTTTTGTGTTGCATTGTCACCATTGTGCAATAGCCGCACTGCATACTCTACTTATTCAGGAATCCCAATGGCACAGTTACGACAACTCTTCCCCTCCTGGGAATAGGAGCAATGTTGTCATTCTAAATGGTGCACTTGTACATTGGTTTACAACATTGTAAGCTCTCCAAAGGATGACAGCTGCCATGTCTCATCAACTGGTGCAATTTAAAAAGCCTAATCAGAGTAGAAAATAGAGATCACTTGTAGAATCTCATTTAAGTGTGGCGTTTTAAAACTAAAACTCATAGGGAAAGATTATCTGATGTTTATCATAGCAGCATATCTTTTAACTAAAATTCAGAACAAACATCATGCCATTGCCTTTCTTGGAGGTTGAAAGAATGTGACTTGACCACAGTCACACAACCAGTATCCACAAAGATTTGAACCCTGGTCTCCAAGAGCCTTAGTCTGACATTCAGGCCACTAGGCCATGGTTGCATTCATATTGACTGGGAACTAAATTTCACTTTTTCCTACAGATTTTGCTCCTGAGGACATGCACATAGGATTGCAATATATTTCCTTGAGGGACTTCTCATAGTGTATGCCTATATTTCTTTTGTCTCTCTGGTATGAAAGGTTTTTGCAGATTTTTGAAACAACGCAATTTTGTAAATCCTCTTTAGCAACAAATGAGAGTTTGCTTGTTTTTCAGTTGTTGGACTTCATTTAAACAGTTATATCAAGATGAACAATGACAATTCATTCAAAAATATACTGAATTATTTTTAAATAACATATTTTATTTTAAATCTTCTATTAACTCTCTGAAAACTCCATCATTTGTCTCCAGTCCTAGCAGATAGGCTAAACCCAAGAACTCCATCTAAACACCTTCTTTTGCCTCCTTCGTAGGTGATTGATGAGTGGTGCAAGAGCAATGACACCGAATCTTTTCTTATGGCTCGTAGACTGATTAGAGATGAAGGTTTGCTCTGCGGTAAGCATGGCTGAAAGATCTTATGCCCACCAACAAAAACATGTCAAATTTAGTCATGTCCTTTACCATGTGACAATTGTAAACAAAAAAAATCCTTACTGCAATGTTGACCATGTGACCATTGGTGATAATATCTAGGTGACTGAGGTAGTTAATTGTTGCAATTCTGTATATCAAATGGGGCAAAAGCAATTCTCTGCCCTCTTCTTGTCCTGACAGCTGTCAAGTCCTAGGAGAGGGTGCTGCTGCTCATTGAGGGAGAGGGAATTTGAGGGGACAAGAAGAATCTGGTCTCAGCCTGGAAAATAAACTAATAGATTTATCACATGAGGCAAATTGAAGTTACAACAGGACATCAGGATCTTCACCTTGGACTTATCACATGATGTTGCCCCTTTCTTGTTGCAACCGTTGGAAGGTGCTTCTTTTATCAAAGGAGGTTGTTAACAAATGATTTGTGTCTGTAAAAGAAATACTTTTTGGGTTGTTTCCCACAAGAAAATTTCAGGAAAGAGAGATAAGCCCAATTGCACATGCAGTTTTTATGTGATGAGCCCCATAATGAAGGTGCACAGATAGAGGCATCCCTCCTTTTCTTTTCCCTTAGAGTCTGTACAACCCACTTCTTCATTGTCTGAATGTGTTCCCCATGCTTTTCCATCCCATTGGTAAGCAGAAACAAAAATGGGTCCTCCTTGGGCTTGACAGGTGTCAGGAGATAATTTGAGATAAGATGCAAAGGGCTGGAGCCGTGGTTCTCAACCTATGGTTCTGCACGTGTTTTGGCTTACAACTCCCAGAAATTTCAGCCATTTTACCAACTGTTAGGATTTCTAGGAGTTGAAGGCAAAAAAAATCTGGGGACCCACAGGTTGAGAACCAGTGGGCTAGAGAAATAGTCACCCCAAAAGAGACATACTGTACCTGTATATAGGAAACACTTACTCATGTGTATCTCTCTAATAGAATGCTGACCAATGTGCACAAATGTGATTTTTTAAAAGCTGTTCACAGTGTTTTGTCTTTTCACGGGCCAAGTTCACGTTTGTACCTGTAGCTTGTATCTTGTGTTTGGTGTTCTACTGCAGCTTTCTAAATTGTCTTCTCAATGCACACTGAGTAATATATTTGTTCTCTTCTTCATTTGGTAGGAGGCAGTGCAGGCAGTGCAATGTCTGCGGCAGTGAAAGTTGCCAGGGAGCTAAAAGAGGGACAGCGCTGTGTTGTCCTCTTACCTGACTCTGTGAGAAATTACATGTAAGACAGTCTTTGTTTCTCTTTTTCATATTTGGAGGCCCTTGGACTTACAGCATTTAGTTCAAATGTGAGAGAGAGTGTTTGTGTTGATTAAAGGGCCAGAGATTATACATCATATTAAAAGTAATGGGGAAATTAGTGTAAAGGTTGTCTCTAGAACAACAAGAAATTCCTTGACACTATCCCTATGAGATTGTTTTATGTTGGCTTCTACTTTTAGGGCCAAGTAGAATAGACCCACTGAATAAATAAGGTTTATGTTGACCTACCATTCAGCAAATTGATTCCGTGGACTCACAATTTACAAATTAATTTAGTGGATTTGTTCTAGTTAGGATTCAAACTATAATTGCCACTCTTCATTTACCCAATTCAGAAAACTAAAAGCACCTAAAAGAATCCAGTTTGTGGAAACCAGAAACTAAAATGGTCATGCAAATATTGAAGTGATATGAAAAGTATAAAGATAACAAAAGACCTAGAATGGGAGGAACATATGTCCTTTTCCTTTCGTTCCATTCTGACAATCATAAAAATCTCTCTAGATTGTGTATTATTGCTGGTACCTCTGTGGGTTCAGTTAGCAAAACAGACTGATTCAGAAAGAGAAATAAAAAATGCAATTGACCACAGAGGGAAATCAATTCTCAAACACAGGTTGGCTTCTAATTCCCTAAAAGTCTTATTTACCAGTCTGGCTTTAGCAGGTTTGTCATCGTATTCTACAATACCACAATATATTGCCTTTATTAAAGCTCTATAATGTGCTTTTTGCCTGCTATTGTTTCTTTTTGTAATTAAATTTGAATATTTTTGGTGTTCTGTAGGCTAGAAAAACTGCAGTTAGACTAGTCCAGTAGTTGTGTGATGGATCTTAAGGTCAGACTAAAGTCTGATACCATTTATTTGTCTTTGTTCCTCACCTATAGGTCTAAATATTTAAACGACAAATGGATGATCAAGAATGGATTTCTAAAAGAAGATGTTCCAGAACAATATCCTTGGTATGACTCAGGGTATCAGAATGCTTATTAACAATGACTGGTCCATTTTGCTGCCTGTATTTTCTTAGAGATAGTTGTCTTGGCGATCAGGCTTGTAAATTAAGCCTGTATTTACCTTGTAATCACTTTTTAATGAATGCAAAATGCAAAGGTAGAGAAATCCATGCTGATCAAACATATTTTGACTACTTGAAGGAGCTTATGTTTTGAAAATGGCATAAACATGCCATCTCTATTAGTTCAACACTTGCGTTTTTCTGGATTCGAGAAAAGTATTAGAATGGTGGGGCACTAAAAGGTCAACTGATTGTTGATCTATTTATTTGTGCTACTTCTTTTGCTTTTCAAAACAGGAATAAATTTGGTTAATAAAATCCAGAGATGCCCTTAAGAGAAATGCACCCAGACTGATCATAGCTTATAGAATTCATTGCTTGTATTTGTGAGCAGTGGCATCACAGTCCATGCCAAATTCTGTGTTTTTGAGTGGTTTGTAACTACTCATTGTACAGAATATGTGTATTTTGTATTCCAGGAATAGTTACACATATCCATATTTTTCCAATATATCATTCTTGTAGAGTTACTTATGTTTGATAAAGTTAAGACTAACTTCTATAGGTCTGTTTCATATTATGTTCAGCTGCAAACAGACTTAATTTCAATTTCTGTCTTTTCCCCTTTGCCTTCTATCTGTAGATTCTACACCCAAAGCCTTACAGAGAAACCCTTAAAACTCCCGTTTTCATCAGAATTCTTCTCAAAATGGTGACAAGAAGTTATCATTCCAGTCACAATTTGGGGAAGGACTCGGATGAAGATAGGGGAATGTATGACCATTGCCAGTGGGTGCAGCCAATGAGAGATAGGTCAGGAATGGCAAATTGACCCTTGTGCTTCTTATATTTGCTCAATCCTTGTACAGACCAATATTTAAAATAAGATACATGGCAGCCTCTGTTTTGCTGAAGGTCAACAATATGCAGTGCTCTTTTTGCTTGACAGGTGGTGGAATATCAAGGTGCAGAAGCTGAACCTGGTGGCCCCTCTGACTCTTCTTCCAGATGTGAACTGTCAGAAGGCCATTGAAATTCTCCGTGAGAAGACATATGACCAGGCACCAGTTGTTGCTGAATCAGGGTAACTCTCTTCCTAGCTAAAAACATGATTCAGCAAAGAGTAGATTTCCAGAGAATTCTGCAGTCCCTGCAACTTAAAGTGGGAGGAGGAATAACCTACTACCTGCATAATGACTGAGATCTTCAAATAAATATCCAAAATGTCTAGATTATCACAGACTCAGTGCCCATACATAGAGGATTCCTATGTATTGGGAGACATGCTCCTCTCCTGGTTTTGTAGGACTACCTCACTGCCCAATTTGTGACCATCACATTACACTTCAGTGGCATGGAAGCAAAGCAGTGAAAAGTAGTTTTGCAAGGTGAAGGGAGAAGCACATAGCTTCATATTTAATAGGGACTTATAAGCCTCACTTGCAGAGAGACTGCTAAGCCTCATGAAGCTTGCAGAAGGACTGCAAACATGAGGTGAAGCTTATAAACCTTATTAAAGATGGCAATGGAGGCAGCAGAAAACTCTGCCTACCAGACAGGATCATTCTTAGCACAGCTGAGGTGCCAAGAATGCCAAGACCCACTAGCTACCCACTTTTGCTTTAGGAAGGAACCCTGTCAATCAAACAAAGAAACAAGTGGTATTCCCCACTGTGGATTCAAATGTACAGTATGGTGTATGTTTCTATCTCCAGTGGGTTGAATCCATGGATTGTGAGCACATAGAAATGGAGAGCCCACTGTATTTAGATCAGTGGTTCCCAATGTTATTTTGACCAGGGACCACTCTCCAACATTAGTACCAAAAGGGTTACAAATTGTTTTTTGGTCAACTTTAGGTTTGGTTTGGTTATTTGGGGTGCTGATTCAGAAAATTGCATTGGATAGACCACATCAGCTCTAGTTTCTGATACAGAATATATGCCACCCAGTAGTTGCCATTTGTTTGCCCACAGAAAACCATATTTAATAATCTAGAGCTGATGTAGTAGTAGTAATCTTCCCTGGGTAGTCAGCCTCTCCACTCGTGACATCCCCGTTGCCTCAGCACTATAAGAGGGTTTCACAAGACCAATCGCTCTCATTGCCACGTGGTTTCAAGGCAACGGTGTAGTAATGGTGAGGCCGCAGACCATATTTTCGTTCTTGAAGACCACAAGTTGGGCACCACTGAATTAGCTGTTTGAATAGGTGTACAACCTATATGTGTATTATTCTTCATGGGATTGGACAGTGGAACAAAACAGGGTGGACTCAACTCTGACTACTTGCTTTGTCAGAAAAGTTTGTTGGTTTGTTCACTCGCACCTGACAGATTTCAAATTCCCTCTAAACATGTGAACACACAAAAGGTATGATAAAGCACAGTATACATTACACTTAGTCATTATTATTCAGAAAGTTGCATTACAATGAAACGATTGTATAGCTTTTTAGATTTATGTCTTATTGTGAATGTGTGCTAGTGAATATTGGTTGACTGCTCCCATTTACCTATAGTTTGTTTATAAAGATTTCCAGTATAGGAAATCAGATATGTCTTTTCCCACATAAGTCAGAATCATATATCAGGTTTAATTCTTTGTTTTTAGGCTGTCTACGCTAATTTATTGACTTTTGCTTTTCAAATTCCTTTTCAAATTTGTTTCATTTTTATACAGTCTAGATATATTTTGTGTGGATCATTTAAAACCATGTTTGTTAGGATCTTCTGTCCATCTGAACATTAAACTAGATATCAAGGTAGTATGCATATCCCCAATGATTAACACATGAGAACGGGCAATGCTTATAGAATCATAGAATCCTAGAGTTGGAAGAGATCTTGTGGGCCATCCAGTCCAACTTCCTGTCAAGAAGCAGGGAAATCACATTCAAAGCATCCCTGACAGATGGCCATCCAACCTCTGTCCGGCCAAGATGGACATAACTGGCAGGAAAAACTGATCAACTTTTGTTAGACAGCAATAAAATTATATGAACTAGTCTAATTTAAAAGATGGGAATCATGCCTTCTATTGTACTACCATTGAATTTAATTTACATAAAGTCAGTTCTCTGACCCATTACCTTGTTCTGTGTGTATTCCTATGATTTTGTTACAGGAAATTCAAATGCATTTACTTCATTTTTCACATGAATGCAAGTAATGACAGTGCAAAAATCTGTTTTTTTTCCCTGAAGGCTCATTTTGGGAATGGTAACCCTCAGCAACATCCTCTCCTCAATCCTAGCAGGAAATGCCCAGTTCTCGGATCCAGTCATGAAAGTCATTTACCAACAATTTTCAAAGGTATTTAACTTTTAAAATTGAAGAGAAATCTTACGAGCAGCCTCAGAAGGGCTGGCATCTTATTAGTAGCATACATGTGCATCTGTTGATCTTATGCTTACATCTTGTAACTGTAAGCATGCATTTTTTTTTAGTGTGGAGGTCTTTCTCTTTTTGCAGTGACCAAACCCTTATCTGGGTCATAAGGCCATTGAAGTGGCCATGCACACCCATTCATTCGTGGACAGCAGAAGTGCAATCATGGAATGTTTCTGGCTATGTCCCTGGTACAAGATGTGTACAGTGGCTATCTAACACTATGTAACATGATTTTTGTTCCTGGTTTATAAATGTCATTTCCTTATTGGCTCTATCATAAAAACATGGAAAAGGTTTACTAAACTGCAAGAACTTTGTTTTTGTGGGACATCCTGCAACACATTTTGCTATCATTTTTCAATGGATATGTCATTGACTCTCAACCAATTCAACATGGTTTGTGGCAGCCACAAAAACGAAGTTTCTGGATTTAATATCTACGTTCAAAGTACGTACCACACAATTAAATAGGAATAACACTTTCAAGCCAAGAACAGAACTTTTCCAAATTTTGTTACATAGTGTAAAGTGCCTTGAGTCACCTTCGGGCTGAGAAAGGCGGTATAAAAATACGGTAAATAAATTAAAAAAATTAAAAAATTCTGGGATGTCCAGAAAACCCCTGCAGAGAATGTAATCACATTGCACTGGCCACAGAGATATTAGCTAGATTCTTCTGGGATCCCTACTTCCAAGCACATAGGAGTGACTTCAGTGGCACTCCCATAGGGCCAGAGATAATAAGCTGCTCAGTGTATGACAGTTCAACATATGGAACTACTATGTTATGCTAACCCATGAAGAATTACAGCCAGAATGTGTTTATTGGATCAATTGAGTTTATTGAGGGACGGAAGGAGAGGAAGGGAGGGATGCTTAGAATGACTTTCTTTGTATCTGGAAATCCTCTACAGGTTAGCCTGGATGACAACCTTGGAAAGCTTTCACGTATCTTGGAAAATGATCACTTTGCTATTGTTGTGCATGAACTGGAGCAATGTAAGTAATAATATAATAAAAAATAAAATGTTATTTGTATCTCACGCTATCTCCCCTCGAGGAGTCAGGGCGGTTCACAACAAATAATGGCAACCATTCAATGCCATAAAGTGCAACCAAAAAACGATGACATAAATCAAATAAAACATACATATTAAACAAGAACATAAAATAATAGTAAGATAATACACCAAATTGGACATCACATAGCTAAAATGACATCTTAAAAATACGCACTTAGGACAACATTTAAAAATTAGGGGCTAATAGCAATTAAAACATAACATTTAAAAGCCAGAAAAAGCCATTTCCTTATTCTGTTCAATTTTGATTGTGTCAGATGGTTATATATTATATATGTCCTCTTTATATGCTTGAGAGCATAAAAAGTCTTCAGCTGTTTCTTAAAAGAGAGGAGGGAGGGGGCCATTCTAATCTCTTTAGGGAGGGAGTTCCCTCTCTTGTTCCCACCATTCTTGCTTGAGACGGGGTGGGACTGAGAGCAGGGCCTCATCTGCCAATGGCAGCACCTGGGCAGGCTTGTATGCGGAGATGCAGTCAGCCAGGGAGTCTGGACCTGAAACGTTTAGAGTTTTAAAGGTGATAACCAGCACTTTGAATTTTGCCCAGAAGCAGACTGGTAGCCAGTGGAGCTGCAGTAACATGGGAGTGGTTCTCTCCCCAGTTAGTAATCTGGTTGCTGATCTCTGGACCAGCTGAAGCTTCTGAATGGTTTTCAAAGGAGCCCCATGTAGAGTGCATTACAGTAGTCTAGATGGGATGTAACTAAGGCATGGACTATCGTGGCCAGATCTAGTGTCTCAAGGTGCAGCTAGTGCACAAGCTTTAATTGTGCAATGGCACTACTAGCCACCACTGACACCTGGGCTTTGAGGGTCAGTGATGAGTCCAGATCACCCTCAAGCTGCATACCTGTGTCTTCAGGGGGAGTAACCCCATCCAACACAGGTTGTATCCCTATGCCCTAATCTGCCTTCGGACTGACTAGAAGTGTGTCTGTTTGGTTAGGATTTAGTTCCAATTTATTAGCCCTAATTCAAGCCATTATTAATGACAGGTAGTTCAATCAACATAGATAAGGATTGTTTTAAAGTCCACCTCTCTTAACTTCTTGCATTCCTTTCAAATGGAGGGGCTCTTCACAGGATGGGGCTGTCAGATACCATGACAGCCCTATCCTTCATATCACATGATGCCATTGACCTCATCACCAAAATCGATGTGGGCATCTGTGAATGAAAGCCTGTGTCCTTCTGCCTCTATTTGCACATGTATTCTAAATATCCTAGGAGGAATGGCAAAGGGCCAGGCATATTTTCTTGCTTTTTTCACTCCTCCTTGAGTGTTGCTGCCCCATTGGCACCTCCAGCTGGTAGAGCTGTCCGGATCCTGCAAAGTGAATATTGGGTGGGTGCCTCAAAGAGCCTAAGATCATTGCATGAGGAATTATTCTTTGTGCATTATTAAAAAACAGATGTAAACATATGCAGTGTTAGGTTGTGCGTGTCACCAACAGGATCCCAGCCAATGTTCCAAAGTCTCATTTGGGGATGTCAGCAATATGTAACCTCCTTTATTTCTGGGCACTTTTAGACAATGCAGATGGTACATCCTTTATGAAACAGATGGTTTTCGGTGTGGCCACGGCTGTTGATCTCCTTAGCTTCGTCACTACGCAGGGCAAAATTCATGAGTCAGATGATACAGCATCTAAATCAGCTTCTTCTGAAAGAACTTTCTCTGCAGCACAATTTTAAAAGAATCAACTGAAAATGTTAACTATAACATTGTGAATTTGTTTGCCAGTATGGTTACGTCTACTTTTAATTTGTTTAACATACTCTGTTTAATGTCATCCTAATGCCACCAGTGGAAATGATCTGGGATTGGGATGATCTGATAAGAGCTTTTAAAATAAAAATAAATGGCTATTATGATGACCTGTGAAAAATGAGATTCTCAGAAGATAACAGTAGACATAATGCTCCTGCAAGGGTTTGCAGAATCAATTTCTAGTTGATGTTTTGTTGTTTGCATTAATAGTGACTGGAAAAAAATATTTCAAAATCTGCTGGCAGAGGAATAAACATTGCACATGCAAAAGCTTCCTGAAATAAATGTAGAATAACCTATAATTCAGTTTACTTGTACCAAGGAAATCTGAATCAACACTATTCTGCTGGCAGAGGTGTAAGCAGAGGTGTAAGAACTGTTCACTAAAATGGACCTATCTTTTTTGGTATGGCTGACCATAATATGGGTCGATTACTACACTTAGAGCAACTTCCCAAAATGTTTCAGCCACAAAATTCCCTTAGGCCAGGGTGAGAATTATGTGGTCCTCCACGTATTGTGAATTCCAATGGTTTTCATCACCATAGTCAATAGTGAGTTTTGGCTGTTTCAGTTCATCTAAAAGGAAAAGCAACACTGAGCACATGGGCTGCATGTGGTTCCCAGACAACACAAAACCCTGAAAGGTGTGAAAACATGCAAAACAGTTCCACCTATCCGCAAAACCACCCCACAATACTAAACATCCCAGTTTCCCTCTGGAGTCCACTTCAAAAAGGTGGCAGGAGGTGACACACATTTGGTTTTGCTGGAGAGGGTACAACCTTTGCCTGACCATCATATAGTTTCCAACTCCTACCTTAGACATTAGAATGTCATGCAGATGTTCACTTCATTTTGGTTTCTACCCAGAAGAGACTAATGCCAGCGCTATATCTGCCAATTTGAGAGTAAAGCTCAAGAAGATCTAATCCCAGTACAGAAACTGTGGACAAGCTGTGCCCAGCTGGTCGTACAGAGCTCACAATAGTCTTCCCTGTGACTCAGCAGTGTCCTAAATGCTGTTCCATGAAACATCCTTCCATCTGTTACTCTACTTCCTAGGACTTTGAAATGTCCTTCTTGCTGCTGTAATTCTCTCTACCTTACAACTCCATTCTCAAAACATTTTTGAGAGGAAAACTGCAAAGTATGGAGAGTTGGAACATCATGTGCTGCTCTAGAACATAATACTCCATGGTTCTGCTCATGAGAATAACCAGGTTACATATTTGCCAGTTCCCTTTTTAGCTTTGATACATACTTTTCCTCAAACATTGATTGATTCTATGTTGTTAGCATGTCAAGATGTCTTATACGGTTATATAAACTAACAATGAAGCTCTTTGTGCTTGACACTAGAAAATCAAGCAATCCATTTGCAAGATGTAATTGTAGATGAGTAAAAAAACAAACAAACTTGTACATCCTTAGAGATGCCATTAGCCAAGACTGTTAAACTTTGGATCTGTGTGAGTTATTATAGAATAAATAAAGGTTAACTTTCTTCTCTTTATGTTAGTGTTGCCACAAATGTCAAAGGATTGTTCGTTGTGCACTGTATGAAAAATGCACTTCTATTTGGTTTTTAAAAATTATTACTATTATTTGTTACCTCTTGATTTGAAATGGATTTATATGTTAAAATAAATTACTTCTCTGCATCTAACAAGACTATGGAATTAATTCTTCCTTTGCTAGACATCTATATCTTAACAATGCAAGGTTTTTATTGATTGAACAATATATAATCTTACGATCTTGTTGTCTTGTTAACCAGTGCTCTTTTAGATGATGTCATTATAGGATGAAGTTAACAACTTGTGGCCCCTCATCTTTCAACCAGTAGGTTTTTGGCCAGAGCTGGTGAGAACTGAAATGTATTACCATGAGAGTAGCATAATGCCCAATCTTGTTATAACATTTCTGTTCCAGAGTCTTCAAGTCATCCAGGCGCTTCTACACTATGATTCAGTTTGGGATTGGCTTAGGAGGAACCAGTTTTGCTGTGCGGGTGACTAGTTTGCTCATTTTCACATTTTCTATTTGTTAGCAGAAAACTACAGTAAATATGCAAGAACTGACTTGTTCTATTAATTACTTGCTACTTGAACAAGGGAGCACCTGGTGGTGCAGCAGGTTAAACCACTGAGCTGCTGAACTTCCAGACTGAAAGGTCAGAGGTTCAAATCCAGGGAGTGGAGTGAGCTCCAGCTGTTAGCCCCAGCTTCTGCCAATCTAGCAGTTCGAAAACATGCAAATGTGAGTATATCAATAGGTGCTGCTTCTGCGGGAAGATAATGACACTCCATGCAATCATGCTGGCCACATGGCCTAGGAGGTATCTACGGACAATGCCGGCTCTTCGACTTAGAAATGGAGATGAGCACCCCTCTCCCCGAGTCAGACACAACTAGATTTAATATCAGAGGAAACATTTACCTTTACCAACTTGAACAAACACACTGGGGACATTGCTTGCATTTTTGCCCCTACACCATGGCATTCCCACAATGTGGAATAGTGGCAACTTAATATCATGATGGCAGATGGTATCACTTACCTGCTAGCATCACACGATAACAGTGTCTTGGCTATGCGATGCCATACTTCTCCACCTTGTCCATTTTCTTTTAAAGGCATTTCACAATTGCAAAATACTTATTTACAAAGAAAAAAAAACCAAACTTTTTCCTTTGGGGGGGGGGGAGAAGATGCTGCCTCAAACCTGGTATCCTCATTGCCTGAGTTAAGCCCAAGGACTGTGGTGCAATCAGAGACTATTGATGGGCATTGCCTATCATTAACTCTTGACAGCTTCATTGCAGGGCGGTGACGGGCTGGTAATGGGTATTGCATGGCATCATGTGATAAAAGGGCACTCAAGAGAGAGGACAGTCCTGCTTCTGTGCCAATTTGCCACCCCTGTGCAATGAAGTCAATCGTTGAATAGTAATCCAACATATAGGTAAACTCAACATGTAGGTAAATGCAAGGATTAAATGGATCTAGTTTAGTTGGCAGTAAAATAGGATTTAGGCTTATGGAACAAATATCCTGTCTGAGTTTTGCCCGAGTTCATGGGAACTTCTCAATACTTCCTCATCCTTATAATCTTTTGGTTATCCCCCTACTCCCAATAAAATCTCCCAAAGGCATAGGATTCTTTGGCTAACAAGCTGAACCAGTTTCGCAAGTCAATGTGGCACAGGATTGCTGTCAACGTTCTTATGAAGACTTAAGAAATCATTGCTCAACTGCCCTCTAGATATTGTTAGCATTCAGTAACTATCTGATGTCCAATTGACCTTCCACTTCTTTCTTCCTTATTTTGAAACCCCAAGAAACTTAGTTATTAAAGCTAGCATACAAGTAGGTCTTCAATTACATTGTTGCCATGTGTCTTCAAAACATTCCAGCTAAGGAAAATCAATGAGGTTTGCTTGACCAGATTTATTTGGAGGAAGGTTGTTTTTACCTTCTTTGGAGGTTGGGAGAGTGTGACATGTCATCCAGTGAGTTTCTGTGGCTGAGTGAGGATTTGAACCCTGGTCTCCTGAGTCCTAGTCTAATACCCAAACCATTACACACCACTACTTTAGCACTGACTTATAATTGACTTCTTTTGGGAACATTTTAACACCTCTATGGCAGGCTGTTTGAATATTGTTCTCACGGTTGGCATCGGTGAAGATGACATTTCAGTTTGTTTAAGGTATTTACCAACATTGAGTTTTACATGAGATAAGTTCTAATAAAATTTCAATTGAGCTAAGATGTGTACAATAATTTTTGAGTTACAAACTTGGTAAATTAAGTGAATGCAGTGGATGTTACATGTATTTATTTCATTAAAGTCTTTAACAAAGTCTCCCATGATATTCTTGCAAATAAGCTAGTAAAATGTGGACAAGACAATGCTACTGTTAGGTGAGTTGGGAAATGGTTGACCATCTGAACCTACAAGGTGTTTACCAATGGTTCCTCCTCATTCTGGAGAGAAGTGACCAGTGGGGTGCCACAGGGTTCTGACCTTGGCCCAGAACTAGTCAACATCTTTATCACTGACTTGGACACTGAAACAAAAGGCTTGCTTATCAAATGCACACATGACTCCAGATTAGTAGGGATAGCTAATACCCCAGAGGACAGGAACAGAATCCAAACTGATTTTAACAGATTAGAGAACTGGACCACAACTAACAAAATGAATTGCAACAGGGAGAAATATAAGGGCAGATAAAACAAAAGGCACAGGTATAGGATGGGGGCACCTGGCTTGAAAACAGTCCATGTGAAATTGATCTAGGAGTTTTAGGTTGCATCCAGACTGTAGAATGTATGCAGTTTGACACCACTTTTAATTTTCATGGCTCAGAGCCATGGAATCCTGGGAGCTGTAGTTTGGTGAGGCTCCACCAATTTTGACAGTGAAGATTAAATATCTTGTAAAACTACAACTCTCATAATTCCATAGCATTGAGTCAACAGTTTAATGCACCCTATGGCCACTCAGTATACAGGAAGGTGCCTTGTCTGATTGGCATTGCCTTGGTAAATAATCAGCAATATTTAATTTCATACCTTCATAGTAGGTACATAGATGGAAATTTACACTCTGATAGATCTTGGGTGAGTTGAGATTCTAAATCTGGTCTTATTATCTATATCTAT